TGTTTGCGGGGGTTGAGCTCTGGCTCTTTGGTCAACCGTCAATCAACAGGTGTACAGATTCCTGAGCCTATTGGGCTCTATCATATCTACACTTGAAACTGTGTGAAACTGTGTGTTTGAGTGTGCGTGTGTACTCACCTAATTGTACTCACCTAATTGTGCTTGCGGGGGTTGAGCTCTGGCTCTTTGGTCCCGCCTCTCAACCGTCAATCAACTGGTGTACAGATTCCTGAGCCTATTGGGCTCTATCATATCTACATTTGAAACTGTGAATGGAGTCAGCCTCCACCACATCACTTCCTAATGCATTCCATTTGCTAACTACTCTGACACTGAAAAAGTTCTTTCTAACGTCTCTGTGGCTCATTTGGGTACTCAGCTTCCACCTGTGTCCCCTTGTTCGCGTCCCACCAGTGTTGAAAAGTTCGTCCTTGTTTACCCGGTCGATTCCCCTGAGGATTTTGTAGGTTGTGATCATGTCCCCCCTACTCTTCTGTCTTCCAGTGTCGTGAGGTGCATTTCCCGCAGCCTTTCCTCATAACTCATGCCTCTTAGTTTGGGGACTAGTCTAGTAGCATACCTTTGGACTTTTTCCAGCTTCGTCTTGTGCTTGACAAGGTACGGGCTCCATGCTGGGGGCGCATACTCCAGGATTGGTCTTACATATGTGGTGTACAAGATTCTGAATGATTCCTTACACAGGTTCCTGAACGCCGTGTCTTGATGTTAGCCAGCCTCGCATATGCCGCAGACGTTATTCTCTTTATGTGGGCTTCAGGAGACAGGTTTGGTGTGATATCAACTCCTAGATCTTTCTCTCTGTCTGTTTCATTAAGTACTTTCATCTCCTATTCTGTATCCTGTGCCTGGCCTCCTGTTTCCACTGCCTAGTTTCATTACTTTGCTTATACTCGGGTTGAACTTCAACAGCCATTTGTTGGACCATTCACTCAGTCTATCCAGGTCATCTTGTAGCCTCCTACTATCATCCTCTGTTTTCAATCCTCCTCATAATTTTTGCATCGTCGGCAAACATTGAGAGGAACGAATCTATAACCTCTGGGAGATCATTTACATATACCAGAAACAGTATAGGTCCAGGTCCGAGAACTGACCCCTGCGGGGACTCCACTTGTGACGTCTCGCCAGACTTGAGACTTCACCCCTCACACAGACTCGTTGTATCCTGTTGCTTAGGTATTCCTCTATCCACCGGAGTACCTTCCCTCTCACTCCAGCCAGCATCTCCAACTTTCGCACTAGCCTCTTGTGTGGCACTGTATCAAAGGCTTTCTGGACAATCCAAAAATATGCAGTCTGCCCACCCTTCTCTTTCTTGCCTTATTTTGTTGCCTGGTCGGTGAATTCAAGTACCCCTGTGAGGCAGGAGGACTGCCATCCCTGAACCCATGTTGATGCTGTGTTCCAAAGTTCCTTCGCTCCAGATGCTCCACTAGTTTTTTTCGCACAATCTTCTCCATCAGCTTGCATGGTATGCAGGTTAGGGACACTGTGTGGGTGTGGGTGTGTGCGTGTGTGAGTGTGAGTGTGTGCATGTGTGTTAGGGGGCTGCGGCTGCTTCTCTCCCTTTCCTTGATACGAGGAAATCAACTTGGATATTACCGCACGTCCGACAGTGTGTGTCCGAGGGACTTGAATCAGCGTATTAATATTACTTCCTCTCTCGGCACTCTCAAATTTTGCTTTCATATGGATCAGCATGCATCACCTCCCTCTTCTTCTCTTCCTCTTACCTCTTCCCCTTCTCCTCATTCTTTTACCTCTCCTCCGTCTCCCCTTCTTATCTAACACTTCTTCTCCGCCTGAGCCTCTTCACTTCTCTTGTCCTGTCATTTTCCGTTACTCATTTTCCTCCATATCTATCCATTTATTCTCCTCTACTTCTTCTTCTTATCTTGCTCCTATCGCCTTTCATTTTCTACTCTCCCGTCCTCCTCATCTTACCCCCTTCTCCTGTTTTCATTTTCACCTTTTCCTCTTGATTTCACCTTCCTTCTGCCCCTCACGGTGAGAGCAGCAATCATGAACACTGCGCGATGCACTTGTAGAAATATTAATTTAAATATGGAAAGATTTTGTGCGCAAAAGTCGGTAAATATTATGACTGAGGGCAACATATTGAGTTGCCGGGGCAGATGAAGTAAAAGTACGATGACTTGAGTGGTAAATAGTTCGTATTCGAGTGAATTTGGTAGTAGTTAGGTTAATTATAAGATTATAAGGAGAATGCATTAGGCCCAATAAACCTATATAGTACTGGGAGGTGTATAAGAAGGAATTAAGATATGAGGACGGAGTTAAGAAACTGTGCATAAGCACTTGGGCCTTCGGGGATCGAACGCCGAGCCTGCAAGTATAGCGAGGCTCTGCCAGGCAACCAGTCCAAGTGGCAGGGTATAGAACAGGAGTGTCAAGATGTGTGTCAACATGGCGAGTGAATCGGCGGGGATTGAGTAGGGACAACTCCCAAGAATTACTGGAGAATAATGTTAGGTGGAATCAGCTTGTTAGGAGCCAGTGAATGATTGACAACACCAGGGACACACCTGCTGCTGTGGAGAGTGTGCTGGTGTGTGAAGGTGCTGAGGCTGCGTCATGTTGTGTAGTGTGAGAGACTGAGGGATTTTATGCGAGTCTTTTTGAGCATCCTTTTGAATATCTTTTGAGTATTTTGGTCTATACTACTTTCTTTCCTGGAATTATTCATCGCCACACCATGGAAAATGGGAAAAGGGATAATGATAGTTATGAAAATTTTCTATTTATTCTTTGAAGGATTTGGAGAGCTGGATGGAAAAATAAATAATAATACGAACTATTTTTAATGCATTTATTACGGGTGCCGAATTTCAGACAGGTGGAAAATTGAAATTCCTAAAATTGCCGGCCCGTCTCGCTTGAAGCATCCCTCAGGCGCAGAGAGAGAGAGAGAGAGAGAGAGAGAGAGAGAGAGAGAGAGAGAGAGAGAGAGAGAGAGAGATTTGGGGTTCTGGTTTACGAGACACGAACGCTCGCTCGTGTTGTTTAGGCGTGTGTGATTCGTGCTCACCATTTTTTTTTAATATTATTTTTCTCTCCTTCCCCTAGCTTCTCCTCCTTTTTCTCCTACTACCTCAGTTCTTCATATTCTTATATGACTTCCGTTTACACTTAATTTTCACTTAACGGTTTAGAAGTTGCGAAGCGATACGAGTCAATAACAACAATATGCTCGAGTTGCGAGGTTTCAAAGCGCGTAAAGTGTTTAGTAAATACAGACTAAGCCTCCATGATCGAAGACAGACGCACATATATCGCAAGAAGATCCATAAACACTAAATGATTCCTGGCCAGGGGCCAGATTCACGAAAGCACTTACGCAAGCACTTACGAACCTGTACATCTTTTCTCAATCTTTGGCGACTTTGTGTTCCAATTATTAAATAGTTAATGAGCTCCGAAAGCACCAGGAGCGGTGTTTATAACAATAACAACAGTTGAATGGGAAGTTTTCATGATTGTAAACTGTTTAATAAAATGTAACCAAAGCCGTCAAAGATGAGGAAAGGAAAGCTGTAACATGTTCATAAATGTTTGCGTAAGTGCTTTCATGAATCTGGCCCCAGGTCTTCAGTGCCTCACTAGAGACGGAGGAGTCGCCGGGCACAGGAAAACGACAGACTTGGCATCAGTATTTAAGACAGGCGACAGAATTCTCCACAGTGCTAGAACAAGGTATAAAGACAGGCCCGAGAGACTGAATCTAATTTCGCTGGGAAATGGGAAAACCGTAGGAGACCGCATAACAATATAGAAGGTAATGAAGAACTGAGAATGTGCACGAGAATGACCAGCTTAATATATATATATGTGGCCACACATGGAGAACACACACAGGTACCAACATATAAAGAACGCACATATAGGTACAAGAAACACAAGTAAATCTGTGGGACGTAAGTTAGTAGGCTGATAGTAAGTGAGTTGTTAGGAAGTGGAACGCTGGACGCATCATGAACAAGCGGAACACCAGCTTGTTCATGTATCATGAACGTATCTTGAACAAGGGGAACGCTGGACGTATCATGAACAATTATATCAAATTAAATAAAAAATAACTTCGTAAATATCATGATCATATCATAAATTTTATTATTTTTATTTTAATAATAATACAAATAAATATCATAAATACCCATAGCTTTAAAAGCAGATACAACAAAGCCTTATCAGGTGAGAGGAAAGTACAATGACATCACACAACCCACCAGCAAGAGTTCGAGTCCTAGACATGGAATTATCAAACATTAGTAAATAAGCATTGGCTACTATGTTATTGTAAATGTTTATTAGATCATGCAAAAGGCTGAGAGAGATAGGGGGGGAGGGGGTTAAGGATTCTGATGATAATGTGAATAATTTTGAGATGTTTCTTGCAACTAACATGGCTGCCGGGAATGTTAATTGCATTGTTGGGTCGGAAGTTTTATATAAAATAATTTTAACTGTAAACCATATGCGAAAATAATATTGGATTATTGAAGGTGATCTCTGAGGAAAGAGAGAGAGTGAGTGAGAGAGAAAGAGAGAAAGAGAGAGAGAGAGAGAGGTGGTGAGGACGAATGATGAGATACAGACAAATAATTAGTAATGTATCATGTGAAAATGCATGACTATAGAGAAAATATCGAAGAACCTGTTGCCTGAACGGGAACACAACATGAACCGAACCAGACAGTCATGTAGCAGCACCCTCCAAAACAGTCATGTAGCAGCACCCACCAAAACAGTCATGGAGCAGCACCCACCAAAACAGTCACGGAGCAGCACCCACCAAAACAGTCATGTAGCAGCACCCACCAAAACAGTCATGGAGCAGCACCCACCAAAACAGTCACGGAGCAGCACCCACCAAAACAGTCATGTAGCAGCACCCACCAAAACAGTCATGTAGCAGCACCCACCAAAACAGTCATGTAGCAGCACCCACCAAAACAGTCATGGAGCAGCACCCACCAAAACAGTCATGGAGCAGCACCCACCAAAACAGTCACGGAGCAGCACCCACCAAAACAGTCATGGAGCAGCACCCTCCAAAACAGTCATGGAGCAGCACCCACCAAAACAGTCACGGAGCAGCACCCACCAAAACAGTCATGGAGCAGCACCCACCAAAACAGTCATGGAGCAGCACCCTCCAAAACTCATGGAGCAGCACCTCCAAAACAGTCATGGAGCAGAACCCACCAAAACAGTCATGGAGCAGCAGCCCCTCCAAAACACAGCCATGGAGAAGCACCCACCAAAACAGAGATGGAGCAGCACCCACCAAAAACAGTCATGTAGCAGCACCCCCCACAAAACAGTCATGGAGCAGCACCCACCAAAACAGTCATGGAGCAGCACCCACCAAAACAGTCATGCAGCAGCACCCACCAAAACAGTCATGGAGCAGCACCCACCAAAAACAGCCATGTAGCAGCACCACCCTTCACCACCAAAACCAGTCATGGAGCAGCACCCACCCCAAAACAGTCATGGAGCAGCAGCACCCACCCAAAACAGTTCAGGCAGCAGCACCCACCAAAACAGTCATGGAGCAGCACCCATGTAGCAGCAAAAAACAGTCATGGAGCAGCACCCACCAAAACAGTCATGGAGCAGCACCCATCAAAACAGTCATGGAGCAGCACCCACCAAACAGTCATGGAGCAGCACCCATCCAAAACAGCCACACAAAACAGTCATGGAGCAGCACCCACCAAAACAGTCATGGAGCAGCACCCACCAAAACAGCAATGTCCAGCAGCACCCACCAAAACAGCCATGGAGCAGCACCCACCAAAAAGCCATGGAGCAGCACCCATCAAAACAGCCATGTAGCAGCACCCACCAAAACAGTCATGGAGCAGCCACCCACCAAAACAGTCTATGGAGCAGCACCCACCAAAAACAGGTCATGTAGCAGCACCCACCAAAGCAGTCATGGGCAGCAACCACCAAAACAGCCATGTAGCAGCACCCACCAAAACAGCCATGTAGCAGCACCCACCAAAATAGCCATGGAGCAGCACCCACCAAAACAGTCTATGGAGCAGCACCCACCAAAACAGTCTATGGAGCAGCACCCACCAAAACAGCCATGTAGCAGCACCCACCAAAACAGCCATGGAGCAGCACCCACCAAAACAGTCTATGTAGCAGCACCCACCAAAACAGTTTATGGAGCAGCACCCACCAAAACAGTCATGTAG